AACTGTCTGAAAGCATTTCTCATATTGAAATGGAACACATTTACAGTATCCATGCTCAAAACTGGGCTTTGAAAGCAATTCTGTGAAATTAATCAGGCAACATTTTTCTGACATTTTAACCATCCTAAACATATGTTAGGAAGTATGACATTAGTCATTTGAACTGGCTCACTTGGATAATTAAATATCCTAAACTTGGAAAGATCTGATACAAATGCCATTCCAAATTAGACTCCAGTCACCTAGGCTGAGGAAATTCTAGACACTTCCAAGATCATATGTAAAAGTTGGTTCTGTACCCTTTCATAGTTTTTTATTGGCAAGTCCAAATGTTTTGATGACAAAAATTAACATAAGCAACATCTTTGCCTTCTGTATCTTTGGTTGAAATGAGCTGGGATAATGGAACTGCTTGTTTAAAGGTTTGAATGCAGGCACACCACACTTACTCCGTCTGCTTAGGGAACAGCCCAAACAAAGACACAGCTGTTAGGAGCAGAGCAGCACATGCTAAACATTTTGTTATATGTTCTGTTTGTTTCTTCCAGTCTAAAGCTTGGCCTGGCTATACACATAGGACCATGAAATGGGACCATGAGTAGGGCCAGGTAGATGTTTTGGTTGGTAGGATCATGTGTGAGTGCTGTACTGTGCAATACCCTGAGTTGTCTGCAAGAATACACCACAGTAAAAGTTTAGCATCATAATCCTCAGTCAGTGGTGTCCCGAAGAGCACAACTGTAAGGATCATGTGAACTGGAAATAAAATACTTCTTCAACTGAGTCATCTTGTGTGAAGAATTTTGTATTGGAAAAATCCAGGCTTGGCACTCTTGGCTTCATTATCTAAGGAAGAGGAAACAACTGGAAGCCTTGACTTCCTGCTAGTTGAATACTGTTTTTCTTTTTTTAAAAAATTAACAGCTGGTAATTAAAGATTTTCAGACATTTTGTAGGACAAAACCTTTGCTGTAAAATCAGTCCAGGGCAATTGCTGAGAAGTCTTCTCAAAATTCATATATATTTTGAGAAATGAATTCTATGAGGGGAAAAGTGTTAGTTGGATGACAAAAATAGGATGGACTGTTTGTTAATCCTATTCCTTAGTTGTTGGGAAACTATTTTTGAGATTCAGACCCTGATAGGGTTCCTGTATTTTCAAGAATCCTGGCATTTTGCTGATTGAAGTGACATACAGGTGGGTGCCCTCATTCCATCTCCGGAAACTCACTGTGGCAAAATATGGGACAGCATTTTTTTCTCTTCGAGGGTAGCAGGCTGGTTTAGGGGGCAGGGCAGGAAGTGTGTCATGCTCACTTCTCCTTTCTACTCCGGCATCTGCTGCAGCTGCCTCATTTTGCCTAATTATAGGGCCAGCCGTGTTTATCCCACCTTTTTAGCTCTTTTATGTGATAAGGCATATTTTTCCACAATTGTGCATTTCAGTTCATGGGCCCGCTCAGGGTCTGGAACACAACCAGAGTTCCATCTCATTGTACAGTATATGACGCAAACTAGTTATAGAAGTTACAACTAGTTATCTGGAGGGACACCTAAAGGCTTTTCAGAGCCATCACTACAGCTTTCAGGCAGCACAGATATACACTGAGGAGCAGGAGCAGCCTACAGAGTGCAGCATAAGGATTACAAATGAGAAAACCCCAACTACGTATATTTAACAAGATGTATTTATATTTAAAAACACACATTTATTTCTTATGGCACTGAATGCCATAAGACCTCATTAGCTTGGGCCTGAGATTTCTCAGGTTTGGTTTTCAGTTTAGTTTTTGGTTCAGCCCTGGGGGGGGGGCTACCTGCTCCTGCTGTGCTGTTGCTACCCTGCTGCCGCAGCACCACTACCGCAGCACCCAGCTTCCATTCCAGGAGACCGTGATCAACAGTGAGTTGGGCGCATGCACTCAGGCAGCAGGCCTGGATCTTGGAAGGGAAGTCAGTCCGCTGTCTTTGATGGTGGCGGAAGCAGGACCAGATAAGGAGGCCATGGGAACAGTGGGAAGAGGTGGACAGGCATCAGTTTGACTGAAGCAGAATTAAGCAATGAGCAGGAAAAGTTTGGTACGCCAGCAAAACACGATCCCTGAACTGGGCTGTGAACCAAACCTGCTTTTAACCCATAAAGTGCTGTTTTTAACCCATAAAGACCTAATTGGCTCAGGGCCCAAGATTTCTCAGGGGCTGTGTCTCCCTTTATGAGGCTGCCCAGGTGCTAAGTTAATCAGGAAAGGCCTTTCTCTCAGTCTCACCACCTTGACAGGTGCAAGAAATACCATATATAGGGAGTCAGACAATAGCAAGAAAAATGTATGTCACTGTACATGTTCATAAACTTTAAATATTCTTTTCCACCAAGCACAAAATATTCATACACTTCAAAAGCTACACATTTTGAAAAACTATACAAAAACACCAGTCTAGAATAAATGGCATCAACAGAGTTTCCTCTTTGGCCTTCTCCTATGCTGTGAGCTTGCATTTCACAGTTATGCTGTAACCCTCTCCTGCTCCAGGTGGTTTACATTATCCACACAGAAACAAAAGATGTGAAGAACTGCAGTTGCTCTGTCCTGAAAGAGAATCAGTTGCAAAAGAAGGCAGTATTTTGTTTTGTATGTTTATTCCTAGAAATAGGAATTTTGGCCACAAAGTTTTTTTAAAAAAACAGACACCTGCATCTTGGTCTGTAGAGCATGCATGGCTACTCTAAGGAAGTTCAGAATTCAGAGTGTAAGATCTAGTTGAGTGTAACATGACTTCAGGTATTAAAGTGTAAGGGGCAAAAAACACAAAAGACTCAGACCTTATCCACACATCCCATGTGCTCCTTTAAAGAGGTGGGTCAATTACCCATTAATTTGGATTAGTTTAATGGACCTACATGAAGTTACTGAAGACTCAATTTAATTACTTCCACTTTCCTTCTACTCCAGGATTATTTTCCTTCACTTGGGAACTGTTACCCACCCCAGCCCACCATAGCCTTCCAGGTGTGTCAGGATTGTCTGTTTCTTTGTTCCAAACAAATCTGTTTCCTATGGGGCACGCACAATTTGAACACTCCCAACATCAGCTATGATGTCATCTGGGGAAATGACTTACCACTTCCTCCCCCTTTGGGAGAGCAAGAGACAAGGAGTGGAGTTTGAAGAGGACATGAGAAAGGAGTGGGGAGAGATGGGAACAGGAATAGAGACAAGCAGAAACCTGAAAAATGGTGGCTTATGTCAGTGGTTCTTAACCTTTGTTACTCAGATTCTTTTGAACAGCAACTCCCAGAAACCCCAGCCAGAACAGTTGGTGGTGAAGGCTTCTGGGAGTTGCAGTCCAAAACTCCTGAGTAACCCAAGGTTAAGAACCAGTGGCTTATGTGATTAGGTATGAGCCATGATGAACCACAAAACAACACAAATCAACCTGAAAACTAAACTAGTTTGCAGAATGGTTTTTGGTTCAGCCCGGGGTGGGGTGGGGGCTACCTGCTCCTGCTATCCTGCTGCCACCACAGCACCACTACCACAGCAACCAGCTTCCATTCCAGGAGCCGGTGATCAGCGGGGAGTTGGGCGCATGCACTCAGGCAGCAGGCCTGGATCTTGGAAGGGAAGTCAGTCCGCTGTCTTTGATGGTGGCGGCAGCGGCAGCAGAACCAGGTAAGGAGGCCATGGGAACGGTGAGAAGGGGTGGACAGGCACCAATTTTTCCTGAAGTAAAATTAAGCAACAAGCGGGGAAAGTTTGGTGCTTCAGCAAAACAGGATCCCTGAACTGGGTTGTGAACCAAACCACGAACCAGTGTTTTCGCCATGGGAACAGTGGGAAGAGGTGGACAGGCACCAATTTTTCCTGAAGTAAAATTAAGCAACAAGCAGGGGAAGTTTGGTACTTCAGCAAAACAGGATCCCTGAACTGGGTTGCGAACCAAACCACGAACCAGTGTTGTTGTTTTTTCCTGGTTCATAGTTTGGTTTGTGCCCATCTCTAAACACAAAGTCTCTTTCTCTGGGAGTGTCTTATAGAAGTTCAAATCAGAAGAATCTGGATTATAAGAACAAACTGAAACAGGTGTGGACGTTTGGAGTGAGTGATTCTGCAGGAGGATGCCAGGTTGCCAGTTTTCAGTTTTAAGTGCAAGAATCTTTAACCATTGGCCATGCTGGCTACAGCTTCTGGAAGCTGCAGTCCAAATAATTTGCAGGGTCCAAAGCCTCAGACCCACTGCCTTGTCCATCAGATACAAGTGGGATAAGAGGTGGCCCTCTCTTTCCTCTCAGGGCTCCAGCACCCTTCACCATCTGCTGCTGCTGCATGTGATACAGAAATTTAATAGGCATAGTTTTTCCAACGGGGAAGTTGCACCTGTTGAATAATTTGTATTATTACGCAGGGGAAAGAAGGCTGTGTGTTCACAGGATGAGCTCTCGACTCTATTGCAAAGGAATTCTCCGGAGAAAAAGAAAAGAAAAGGGCGAGGAGGACCCAGCATGGCACACTCTCGGATCTCTTGGCGTTCTTGGTAAAGAAAATGGAAGGAGCAGCTCGGCTAAAACCAAACAATCCCCATCAACAGCACCAGTGAAATGCCCGCTGGGTGTATACACAGTAGCTGGGTTGTCCGTGATTTCTTTTTTTACCCAATTCCCCTTGAAGCTACAATTTGCTTTCTTTTCGGCTCCGCTCCACAGACAAGTCCAAGTGGTTAATCTTCTCTCGCTCTCAGACTCCCTGCTTGGGGGGGGGCAGCATTCCAGCCCCAGCCGGAGGCTCCAGCAGGCGGGCCTCCCTGAGGAAGGGCCAACCCGGCGAAAACTAAGCCGCAAGCAGGCAGCGAAAGGCAGGATTCCCGCTAGAGAGAGAGAGAGAGA